GGGAAGTCGAGAGGCAGAGGTCGGGTTCGAATCACGAACCTTCCGGCCAGTCAGTTCGCGCTCTAACCACTTGGGCCATCTCGCCCCCTTTCGGTGCCCACCTATCATGCCAACAGGGCTGGAACACTTCCGGTTTGCCCAAGCCTAGACAGGGGAACTCGGGAGGCAGAGGTCGGGTTTGAACCACGGGCCTTCCAATCAGTAAATTGGTGCTCTAACCACTCAGTTATCTCGCCCTCCCCATATAGATGATAATTTATGGCTGCTCAGGCCAAAGAAGGGGTACCCAATCCTAAGCCTTTGACTCGGAAGTCTGACCCACAATGCAGTTAGAGGACGTAGGTTTTTTAGGGCACCCTTCCCTAACCTGACTCAAAAGACTAAACCATGAGGTATTGTTGACTGGCCTTTCCAGAAGCCAATGGCGCAGTAGTCTGACCCACTTCTGCTGTAGCTGGCTGACCTGGTCCGAGGAAACGGGTAGTAATGCATAACTGTCTGACTCCCAATGGGGCTTCGCAAAGCAGCTGACTTTTGAGCAGCACCAGCCTCTTTGGTTTTAGAAGTATTTCGATTTTACGAATAATGCGCCGGTGGTTATGGTTAACCGTTGGACGTCGGAGTGTGCTGTTTTAAGGACCGACTTTATCTAACCCGTCCTTGCTTGAAAGAGGGATAGTTTAGCCCGCGAGTTCATTGCAGCATCGAAGCCCGACAAGATGGCAACTGTAGGCTAGGTTGTGGTGACTCGCTGAGGTTAATGGCTTTCGTGTTGTCAGTTTCAATGCAGGTTATCTGAGTGTTGTAGTTCCAAGCACTTCGGGTATTTGTGGTGGGCTATCCCTAGGTCCACCTGTATCCCTGTTCTTTTTCCTTGCACAAATATACTTTATTCAAACAAAGTGATATGGTCGGCGGCAGTGAGCTCTGAGCAGTGAATGTTGGTGTAAATGGTGGCGATTTTTATTATCAATCTAACTTGAGAGTCGAACGGCTGACTTAAGGTCGCAGTCATATTTTGGCACGGAACATCTTGACGTCAGCCACCTTCATTATATCATAGATTGTTTTAAGGCCGAGAAACAAATACATTAAGATCTTTCGAGTAACATCCTTGGGCAGGACCTCGCCGATTCTGTAGCCACTGAGTGGCTCAAGAGCGGTGTTGTGTTCGACGACGGATGGAGTGTAGTGACAATCAGAATAAGAACGAGAAAGATTGAGGGCTTAGAAGCTAGGCTTTATTCATCCAAAACTTTGATACTGAGGGCTGAAATGAGAAAAAAGCTATTTAGTAATAAACGATAAAACGGTTGAAAAACAGCGAATACACCATTCACCCCCGCAGAGATAAATTTTCACAGGAGTTCGTTTTATGTTTGAATAATGTCAGCCCTCTGTTGCGCAAGAAATACGGTCTTGTCCGCTGTTTTTATACAACAAGCGGGTGTTCAGAATAATTAAACATTCCAGTTTCTGTAGCAGAGTCAGATGGTTTCAGCTTAATAAATGAATCAGTATTGGGTTGCGATTGCTACTGTTCAGATGCTGGTGTGTGTCCGATGTCTGCGGAAGGCGCCAGGTGACCTAAGGAGACCGTTTCTTCCATACCGTTACGATGTCGAACATATGTGCACTCAGGGTTACTCTCTGGCAGCCCAATCTCTTCGACTACGGGATCATACTTAGAAGGTCGTGTATTTCGCCGCATCAGAACTGGTCCTGGCGAAAGCGACCACTGCGGCAACGATGTACCGACTACGGATTTTTGATTATAATGAAACACTCGCTCGTGTTGAGTGGCGTGGGTGCACAACAAAGAACAAATCGAATGGAGCGCGTCTTGCAAAGCGCATTCTTCAATGACTGATTTGAGAACCTTTTGATCGCAGTGAAAGCGTAATAGCTTTCCACGAAGTTCCATTTAATCGTTCCACCTGACCGTTCCCTCTTGGGTTATATGGAGTGGTCCGACTGGTGGCAACGCCTTTTTCATGAACAAATCGCTTAACCTCATTTGAAACAAATGATGGACTGCAATCCAAATGCACGAAATTGGACAGGCCAAATGTAGCGAAGAGTGGCACGAGGCATGATATCATTGCAGACGGACTTAAATCTGGACAAGCATAGGTGAACGGGAAACGGGAATACTCGCCTGCGATTGTCAGTAGATATCTATTTCCAGTCATTGAAGGTAGTGGTCCCTTGAAGTCAGTGCTTAAACGTTCAAACGTTTGTGTGGCTTTAATGTGTGTAACACGAGATAGCTTGAGGAAATGTGGTTTTAATTCCGCACACGCATGACATTACTCAATGATAAGTTGGATGTCCTTAAGTGAGAATAGATTCTTAGCGCGAGCGAAATGCATCATGTGTGTTGCTCCTGGATGGCGCAGAGTTACGTGTGAGCGTTCTAGATCTAGCTTAGATGAAGTGTTTGTGCAAACACTCCGAGAGTGCGTATCAGCAGCCTTGTTTCCTTTGCCTGGTCCATAGGCTACGTCAAGAAAAAGGCGGTAGCTCCATCCACCATAGTTGGACTTTGCCATTTTTTATTTTTCCTTCTTGTTGTGTCTAATACATGACCCCCACGGACCGCTGATCGGTTACAGTCTTGAAATGCGACCCGAGTAGATAATGCTTCCTTTCGCGAGCTGTTTCGACAAATGTGCACGCTTCTTTCTCAATAGCAGAATGATGTTTTTCGCTAGCAGACAGTGTACGTCAGAAGAATGCGACCGGTCTGGCATATTGATTAAGTGTAGTCAAAACCGCACGTCAGACGCATCAATTTCTGGATTGATGGTGGCCACGGCTGCATCCACCAACTGTTTTTGAGACACTTTCATAATCGACTCGGGGACTGGAAAGGTTGTATTGTGAGTGATCTGGTGTATTTAACCATAGAAACGGTTTATCCAACGAGAGTATTGCGCAAACAAGCCGATTGCACGTTGCTGAGACTTCATTTCCGTCGGAACGGCCAGTTCTTGCAAGACCTTGAAACGTTCAGGTCCTGGTCTGACGATACCTTCAGTAATTTCATAGCTAAGGAGTCTGAGTTTTGTGGTGGAAATTGTGCTTTTATCTTGATTTGACTAAAGGCCACACTTTTGTGCTACGGTAAGAAAACTTTTGAATTTTCGATCGTGTTCTTGATTCTTTCCACAAATGGTGACATTATCCACATAGATATATGTCCCGGTACATTTTCCGCGCGTACTATGTCACCCGTTACCCATTGAAAACATGCTACTCCATTCGTTACTCCGAAAGGGGTTCGACGAAACTGATAAATATTGTTCTAAGCCTCAAAAGCCGTGTAGATCTGTCACTTTCCTTAATGGGTATTTGATGATACGCACTTTCAAGATCAAGCGTTCTGAAAATAAGCTGTCGAGCCATTTTACTACTCATATTCTCAAGTTTGGGGAGCGGATAAGCGTCCAGTTGCGTAAATCGATTTTAAAGTTTGACTACAGTCATTTGACTGTCGCTCATTTGTCATGACGAGCACTTGTGTTTTCCGTGGAGATTTTTGATCGAGTGAACGCTTTTCTACAAAAGTAATAAGAGCCTCGTCGTCTGCAGAATTTCCTCTGGACTTTATAACAGTGGGCTTACACCTTCCATCAAGATGTTCCAACAATGTCAGTTTCTATTTTGGCAGCGATCAAACCACGAAGCGAAAAAGAAGAAAAGGAGCCGGTACTAGGTCTCTTCCCTGTCTGCCTTTATTCTTTGTCAAATGCTTTTACAAAATCGGGGTGTTTGCTAATTTCCATCGAGTTCACCCATTATTTCCGTGGTAATAAGCATGTGGACACGCGAACGTGCTTTTTAGAAGCTGTGCCGAACAGAGAGAATGACGTTTTGGTTCTCAAGGTGGTGTTGAGTGTCCCTCACAAGAGCACCCCATGGTCTTGCAGACCCATGTAAAGCGAGTTGGTTCACAAAATTTGACGATTCCCCCCTTTGCTTACAGGCTTAATGGTAGAGGACGGTCGAAATACATTGCAGGTGAGTGTAGTTGTGTGCCCGGCCGCGGTATTGAGGAATACCGGGTAACATAATGAAGAACTAAGATTTGATTCATGAAGTTTCAACACGATGTCAACGTTAACTTCGACATGCTAGTCGATTATATAGCAGAGTATTACGAGCTAAGAGGACAGGCTTTAGCATCGTCCTCGTGGAGCGCAGTGCCTTTCTCACTAGGCTGCAGCACAGGCACGTCGTTCCAGTCGTAGTGCTTTTTTCGGACACGGGAACGGTGTGTAGAATTAGCCTGCGGTTGTTCAGCCAAGCGGAGCTCATATTGTTATTGCAGGGGCTCTCAATCATTCTGATTGGAGTAGTTTAAAGCCAATTGGAGAGCCCCAAATACGTCCCAGATTTTCCCTCTTATTTAGGACCTCAACTCTCTATCAATCTGATCAATCAGAGAAATCACTCTGGGGCGTAATAAGGTTCTTGTGTTACCGCCGAGCTGTGTTGTCTTTGGTTTTCAGCCCTAAGCAGGTAGTCTCGGATGGTGGGTTATTGGGTAGTATTTTGTTCCACTCGGCGGATAACGGTAACGCACTGTAATGCTGCTGATTGACCGTCAATATCTAGTTTCGTGAAAAACGTTTCGTTGAGATCTGTTGGAGCATACCTCACAATTCGGCGCTGTCTGTGCGAAAAACAAGTGTCTGACCAAGTCATCAGGGTTGCCGTTACACATGCACATTCTCGCGTACATTTTCCTCGGAAAAGGATGACTGTTCTCAGCTCAGACCATAAAATTTATCAAGTGGTTGTGTGTGGCTTCTCACCAGAGACCGACTGCCCATTCACCGACGCTTATGGATTGGATTTTCGAAACCGCGATCTTGTCGATTGGGTTATCCTAGTAAGTGTACTACCATTTGTGCAATCTTGGCTATGATACAAAAATGTGAATGCGTGCATATACTCAACGATGACTAGTTTTCCACTTCTGCTACATTTTAGGTTGACACTGACAAGAATTCTATCTAGAATCCAGCCTATGCGTGTGTACTGGAGGTTCCGACCTGAGCCTTAACCGGCCTGTTCTGCCTACCTCATCTTGCTCAATGAAATGGACACTGGATTAGAACTTTTCAAAATGGTGCGGGAGACAAGTAATGCCTTTTGCGCAGATTGTGGTGATCCAGGTAGGAGTCGATTTATTATGTGAACGGTTCATTCCTATTCGTCTCACTAGGTCCCTTGTGGGCGTCGTGGAATTTGGGTGTTTTTTTGTGTGTGAGGTGCGCAGCCGTACACCGAAAAATTGGCACCCACGTTTCCAAGGTGAAATCCTTACAGCTAGACTCCTGGACCCCAGCGCAAGTACATGTAAGAACAAACTAGTAAAATGTCATCAAATCATCGTTGTTTTTCGTGCCTCCCTTCTCTAGGCTATGAGTCTTAGCAATAACACACAGAGCAGGAAAATCTATGAAGCAACCTTACCCGACAGCTTCATTCGACCCCAATCAGACGCAGGGCTGGAGGCATTTATCCGGGCAAAGTACGAACAGCGAAAGTTCGTTAGGAAATCTGTGGAAGATAAGCAGCCGCCAGACCTGCCTATCACGTGTCCTTCGGTCAACAACGAAACCCATCATAATGGAGACTTAATTGATTTGAACAGTCTTTTGAATGAGCCCACACATCCAAATCCAGCAACCACAAGCACGTCGGAATTCAGCTCTTCCATAATGGCGCTATACAAACAGTCCGTGCCTGGTGAGTCTTTGTTTTAGGATGCATATGTTTTTCAAACCAGCTGATGAATGTTAGCGTTCAACCAAGTCAACTAAACAATCGATAACCTGGCTTCGTCCCTATTCAGATGCTGGGCCACCTGGAAGTATCTCAACCCTCGCAGCTCATTCGAACTGCACGGCCGCTTTGCATGGATAGCGTACCACAGCGGAACTATTGTTTTTAACTTGTTATTTAAGCCTCGTTTGGAGATTTTTCTCACTAAAAGTCTACAAAGTTCTTTTTGCTCCTAGTGTCCTGGTCGTTTTGACCCACCCTAAAACGATTAAATTGTGGCCCAATTCTGTGCAAAATACTCGAGTGATATACATTCGAAAGATTTTACAATTTTCCAGAAATCAAGCAATAATAACTTAATCGATTGGTGGCAGCACCATTTCAAAAGAAATGAACTACTAATTCTGGATTGAGAGAAGTCTTGGTAGGTCTGTATAGGAGATGTGACGACTTATCGAAATCGACTTTCTCATCACTCTCGTTTGAACAGCCTCCTTGTCTTGGCGCAATTAATCTAGTGAATCCACACCAAGGAGAGAAAGCAGCAGACTCGAGCTTCACTCTAGTTGGTGCTCATCAGCAGTGCCGGAATTTGAATTCCAGACATTCGCCATGCGCCATCGGTGCACGCTGGATGTACCTGAGTTATCACGTCTGCATAGACTGTGCTCACGCTTGAACGATGAGATTGGTGTGCCCAAATCCACGATACAGTCACAGTTTATACAGACGCCCAAACAGGTAAACTGATCAACAAACTCAAGTCCGTCTCCCTGAAGTTTCTAAGGGATACACGGGGACTCAAAATACCAAAACGACACTGCGCTTTGAGGGTGCGAAACGCATATTGAAACTGTGGATCACACCCGAACTTCTAGTTACTGCAGACTGTGCGACTGCTGATCGTCAAATAACGAGGAAATATCACTACTTGGTCCAATTCTGCTATTTTTTTTCTCATACTTCCGATACGAAGAGCCAGAATCTATTGAAACTGCCCTAGCATTTGGCGTAATGTAAAGATGTGATCATTGCATCCTCTACTGAAACCTTGCCTATTGCTTCCAATTTTATATCTTACCTGTCGGGATTAGGCATCGCGATATTACTGAAGCCGGTAGCCGCGTTATACCAGGTATCAGGGTGATGCCTTTATTGTTGAAACGGTCGGCCCGTTTACCACTTTTAAACAAAGGCCCGATTGATTGGTCCCAATGGTCTGGAGCGCGTTCTTATTTCGAAAAGGGTCCGAACGATCTAGTTAAGGCAGAACACAAAGATGCACTGCCGACTTTAATTAGCTGGCCCGACAGTACGCTAGCATTTCAGGGCAGAAAGCCATATGAGTATTTTATCAACTGAGGAATGGTCTAAACTCGTAGACCACTGCTCGTACTGGACAGGTCGAATGAAAGACAGGTGTAGAAGCCGATGACTAACTAAGCTGTCGTTTGAAATGCTCTGGCTAGCGATCTAAACGTTTTTATTAACTACCAGGTTTCCGTTATTATCTTTGATTTGTTGACCAACAGTGTTAAGCCCTGTTTTTTTGGATTAGCTGGAGCAGCTTCCGTACACTTCCTGTTGCATTATCCTAGTTCATTCTTGATTCTTTGCAGTGTAATCTGCGACTTCTTGTGGAAATGGACAGTCTAGCAACGGAGCTTCATTCTAGGAGCTGAGAGTTAAAACAACAACAACACAACCAGCTGCGTAAACTGAACAATCACCTGAAGTTCTCAGTTGATGGCGTCCAGACAGCAGAGCTGCTACAATACCAGCTACTCTGTTCGTGAAATACACCCAAAAAAAACTTCTATCAATAAAGTATGAAATGTTCGCTTAAGATCAGTTGGTTTACTAGCTGGGGCCCGATTAATGAAGGTGAAGTGACAGATGTGAGCTGTGCTGTGCAGTCACCTCCCCCAGTGGCTGGCGCGTCTACAGCTGGGCTCTGCGGAAAACGATCGTCACACAAGGCGGGAGGGTAGTTCAGAGAGTGTAATAAAGAAGCAAAGGAGACGTTAGCAGTCCCATGCTTTCGCCTGTCGATCCTGATGCACTCAACGAATAAGGCAACCGGCTAATGTTGGGTAAGGGCTGCAAAACCTAGAGAGGAGGATGCTTAGGGTACTCATCCAAAGCCTTCGGTTCAGAAGCCTAATCGCGAGACAGCGGTGGTCCGCATGAGACTATCACGGTAGTCTGAGCTTCAAGAGACATTTTGCCACACTTTTTAACCCCCAATCTGGAGAGTCGGAAGACTGCTTGTGAGACTCTACGCCGCAGTCAGTATGGCTCAGTGCTTTGCTGAGGCGCGAAAACGGTCGCACGACAACAAGGTCTGGTCTTTTTGCAGCATCCAGTGTCCGCTGGTGGTGCAGTTGGAACACGCCCCCTCGCATGTCAGATGTCCTAAGTTAAAATCACAGCGGGACAAGGATATACACTACTAATAAGGGTGAAGTTCTTTGCTACAGGCTCACTAAAAGAATTGCGCCAGGAGAGGACTTTTCGAACGAGGATGATGTGAACCTTAATTCTACAAATCCACAGACCACCTGCAACATTTCTCGGAGTTACCGAAAAAGACGCAAAGGAGCAGAGTGCGGTGAATGTAACAATAGTAGACTTGACACTGTAATTACTACGTCCTAAGGGACCACCTCATGCAGTCTCCTAGTAAAAAATAACCACCCTCTGTGCTGTGCAGTCACCTCCCCCAGTGGCTGGCGCGTCTACAGCTGGGCTCTGCGGAAAACGATCGTCACACAAGGCGGGAGGGTAGTTCAGAGAGTGTAATAAAGAAGCAAAGGAGACGTTAGCAGTCCCATGCTTTCGCCTGTCGATCCTGATGCACTCAACGAATAAGGCAACCGGCTAATGTTGGGTAAGGGCTGCAAAACCTAGAGAGGAGGATGCTTAGGGTACTCATCCAAAGCCTTCGGTTCAGAAGCCTAATCACAAGACAGCGGTGGTCCGCATGAGACTATCACGGTAGTCTGAGCTTCAAGAGACATTTTGCCACACTTTTTAACCCCCAATCTGGAGAGTCGGAAGACTGCTTGTGAGACTCTGTGGACGCCGCAGTATGGCTCAGTGCTTTGCTGAGGCGCGAAAACGGTCGCACGACAACAAGGTCTGGTCTTTTTGCAGCATCCAGTGTCCGCTGGTGGTGCAGTTGGAACACGCCCCCTCGCATGTCAGATGTCCGGAGTTAAAATCACAGCGGGACAAGGATATACACTACTAATAAGGGTGAAGTTCTTTGCTACAGGCTCACTAAAAGAATTGCGCCAGGAGAGGACTTTTCGAACGAGGATGATGTGAACCTTAATTCTACAAATCCACAGACCACCTGCAACATTTCTCGGAGTTACCGAAAAAGACGCAAAGGAGCAGAGTGCGGTGAATGTAACAATAGTAGACTTGACACTGTAATTACTACGTCCTAAGGGACCACCTCATGCAGTCGAGCAAATGTGGTCGTCTTCTCCTAGTAAAAAATAACCACCCTAATAACAAAGTGACCACGTTTTTGGTTTTTAGCTGTCGTGACACCCCAAGGAAGCACGAGGGCTGAGATACCCCCAGGCTGTCCAAGCCTAGACAGGAGCAGTCGAGCTGGGGTTCGAACCATGGGCCTTCTGACCAGTAATGTCCCTGACTACTACCCTATCTCGCGCCCTCTCCTGGTGGGGACCAATAAGTACTGAATGCAAGAAAACAGGAAATTCGTTTTATGTGAGCAAAATTCAGTTCTACTCTTTCTGGAGCACTTATTTTTGGAAGCTTTGTTCGTACTTCGGACGCAAGATAATTGTCTAAATTGTACTCAAGTGCAAACGGTCGTGGTCCGTTCACCCGTTCGGTCTAGTGGGAACAACTCAGCTTTCTGTGTTATAATGCTAGATGAATTCCCATTGCACCATCAGATTCTATGCATAGGTCAATCCGTGATGATCTCGTTTAATATATCCGCTGTGTAGTCATCAGCATTTTCACTATCAACCCACAACGCCTAAACTCTTTCAACTCCTTGGAAGTCGCTTCGAAGATGACCTATCAGATTTTTTAAAAACTGCGTGAAACTTCGGAAAAGCCTAGCCAGCTGAAAAAGATACCACATCCTCATTGTCCAATGTCTAAATGCGGCATAATTCCCGGTCGCTAAGTTAAAGGTCCCTGATTCGTTAACTCGGCCCAAGAAGGTTGCTAATACTGCTCCTCGAAGGTTTTTGCGCCGGAGAATCGATCACTGCTGCCGGTTGGTTGATTGTCTTCGCTTTCGGATCTGCAACCTAGATACCATGGTATCCACCTTGCGCCCAATGGATATCTGCACCATTTAGTGTAACTTGTACGGAGTCGTGGGAACCGCACTTTCTGAGCCATCAACAAGTTCGAACACCTAAAAATGGACTATCAGCAGCCCACAGCGCATTTGTTCAACTAACAACCGACAGAAGTCTAGACGAAGCTGAAAAATCGACTATACAGAAGGGCCTGAATTTCAGCATCACTTGGAAGCCTTTAAAACCGGGAGAGAAAATACCATGTGTTGAGCGACAATGGCTAACGAACATGATATTGGATTGTTGAAATCTTGAAGAGACAAAGGCCGACAAACCTTAATCTCATGAGGAAAGGACCGGGTGCCTTCAGACGCTTAAGGCACAAGAAGACTTCACACAACAAGGGCTGTCAAAGGAAATATGACATTCATAATAAATTGTAAAGATCATGAGAACAAAGCAATCGGCCATCTAGCTGCCAGACCATACACGCTTATTGACAGTGAACGTAATAGACCTGCACGTGCCCTAGTGCCCTCACGGCATCAAGCCTAAATGGAATCCTTGTGGTTCACTCTAGTGCCCAAATCGAATAAGTTGGCTGGACTTTACGGACTATCGAAAATACACAAACAGGGCACTCGGTTACGTCTGATGTGGACTGCTTATACCACTTACAAATTATCCAAACAAATTGCAACAATAGGAAAGCCGTTTGAACAGGATTTGGTCAGTAAAATGACAGATTCAAGCGATTTCGCTCAGACTGAAAACCCGCTAACTCTTGGTGACAGTGAGACTTTTATCAGTTTTGATGTTTCGCTTTACACTTCGCTAATAGCTTAGGATACATAATACACCTAGATGATTATGTCAAGTTGAATAGCCCTATCCCCCTCTCCGTGCAGGGGATTGCATAAGGTCTGGGATCATGCTTGCTATCTGCCCACTATATTCACGGTCAAATGCCAGATTTACCAACAGACTGATACCACGGATTCTCCTGTTTCACCCAACCTATTCTTAGCACAGTTCGAATCTCAGGCATTGAGCAACTTCGACGGCCCACCAAAAGTTTAGCTAAAATAAATCAACGACACAATTAATATCATAGGGACATGTTATGCGAATCAGTTCTTACCATGTCTGAACATCTTGTGTGACTCCAGTCGTTTCACTGTAGAACTTGAGGAGCCTAGCGGAACGATTGCTTTTATTGATTCTTGCTCTCCTTGCTCTTTTGAAACCACAGCACACCACAAGCCTAACCAATGAGATCGCCACTTAAACCTCAGTTCTGCCCACCCGTTGAGCATAAAGGGAGCGATAATTCGCGTACTGGCTCATCAAGCGAATAAGAGCTCTGGTACCCGCTTTGTCTGAAAGCGAGATAACCCATATCAAACATTGAGAAGCAATTATGTGACGCGTCTTATAGAACATATGCTTTAGCCACCCAACCGAAATAACAATAAAATCGAGGGTTGAACCAATTGATGTCGTGCGGATTCGGTGCCGACGGCGCTCATTTGAAAGTGTACGTTACGTACTCTCCGGCTTCACCATCCGCACTACTTTCCAGATGCACACTGCAGAGACCGAGAGCATGACCCGCCCAAGCCTGTTTGCACAAGAGTGGCTGTGTCAGTCGTAACTGTGTTTAAATTGGGCATACCACAGACAATTGAAGGTTCGAATCAACGAATATAGACCACACTCTCGAGTCCCTCCAAGAAACGCGATCGAATTGAACAAGCTCAGCTGTCGCACTCCGTGCGGTTAGTTGAGGATCTGGGTAACATGAATGTAATGCAGTAATATCTAGACGTACGTATGACCAAAAGTGTTCTGCTAACTCAGTCGCTGATAGCGTTATCTACCATTTGGTCTGGCCTAATTCACTCTACGAGGACAACGCAAGCACGGCAGGCCGCACTTGACACGGCAACTCAGTCCCAAGGTCAGGTGTGAACTACTTTCATGGTGTTCCTTCACGTGCAAATGGCAATGGCTAAGGTCACCCCCGTTTGAATGCACTATGACTGCTGTGTGGTTGCCAGCATTTTCACCGTTAACCCGTGACCCTGACCGCCAATCGCACTGTGTAGATAATGTTTGTACGGGACTGCCACAAATGCGTTAGTTCTTAGGTGAAATTGTTGTGCATGTTCGTGGTAGATTTACCAAATCTGTTGAAAACAGTTACCTGTATAGCTCTGGAGCTATACTCAGGTGCATATGGAACTGGCCGCCATGCGACAAGGGACACTGTTGTTTACCTGTGACTACTAACTGGATGTTCACGACTGTGTCAATGTTACAGATCGTAGAGGGTTAATTTAAAAGCCGTTTTTAAGTACGGAAACCATAGCACTGATTCTCACAGAAGATGAATATTTTTGTGTTTTTTTTTAGTGATCGTTTGCTTGAAACTTATCGTGGAATCAATAATAACCGTGCTGACTTATGAACTGCGATAGTGCTACCACTTAGGTCTAATTGGCAAATTTCGTCATCGCTTCTACCCGCATGTGTTTTGTACTGAAACCGAAAGGTTCAGTAACAAAGATTTTCCACCCTACAGCAGGCGGTCGCCGCCGGATTTCTCCTAACAAATCTATCTTTGCTTCATTTGTCGTCCTCGGTTCATGCTCTGGACTTCGTAGTGCTACAGAAACGTGGAAACAGACTGAATACGGAGACTGTTCGGTAAATGTTCTACGACCATCGTTGAGTAATTCCGTAAAGATGAACGGACAACTCGTGACAATTCTGGTCCTGATCATTACCAATGGATCTTCGAATGCAACTCACTGCCGTTGAGGAGCAGACTAGAAAAAAACCCTTTTCACTTCATCATGCATTAATATACCTGGTGTTTTTCATTTCCCCTCAAACCACTCAATTCCTAAAAAGTCATTCCTGGCCTCGTTGACCATTTGCATTGTCTGTATGTTCCTCTTGGAACATCCTAAGTTGGAATTCGGTTTGTTACATGCCTTACTGCTCTAGGAAGCTTTTAGACTATCATTGTTAGTCATACCAGATGAGAACCTGATTGTTACGCTCCTCTCTCTTTTAGTAAACCCGCTTCCAGTGCCTCCCCCTGCACAGGTTTCTCCGCATTCAGGATTTTGTCAATCTCAGTATTTCAATCAGGCAAGTACGAGCTGCGTAACTGAACTTTTCTTTCATTCACAACATTGTACTGACAACTGTTTAGACCCGTTACCTGATTTGTGCTGCCACTTCCAATTGTAACGAATTAAGAGGACTGTTAAGAAGTCCTCCGTGGATATTTCTTTTTACTCATGCAGCGTGTACGTAGACCTCTCATTTTAGAAATCTAGAGAAGACTTCCATTTCTTGCTTACAATAACCAACTGCAAGGGACACGCACCGCCTGCGGCAGCCTGGTTTGAAGACTGTATGATGTGACAGATGTATCACAGCTCGTCCCAATCAAAGTAGAGAAAGCGCGGGACTACCCGACCCCCTTGAGACCCTTAAGTCGTAGTAGTCGAGCTTCAGTGCTGCAATAGTCACGCGGGCTACACTGGCTGAAACTCAGTTCCATAAGGTTCACCCATGTCAAGAAGGCCGACAGGCAGCAGCCCGACGAAGAATAATGAGCCCCCGTACTGCGTGAAATCGTATTACAAGATGCTCTGGAGATAAAATCCTACTGTCATCTACGATAGGAGTGCGAAGGTAGTAAGGTATTCCTTTCAGGTGACCAGCATGTCCATATTAATGAGGGCAGCGATGCTTTCCTCCCAGTAAAAATTTGAAAAAACCTTGACTAAATTTGGACCAGCATAACCACTGACACAGTGATACATACTGGTGAAAAGAAGAAGGCCTTCGCTGCAGAGTTATTCATCAGAAAATGCCAACTGAACAGTTACAGACTATTGGACAGGGAACCAATACTCTCATATGCATCTTGTTTACAAAAACTGAATATCCATCTTCTCTTTGAACGCGTCTTTCTGAAATTTCCTGAATATTCATTGACTGTTGCTCAAATTCAAGCAAATGCTACAAAGCAACTCCACAAATTCCTCAATAGATCTCCCTTTTCAAGAGACAACGCGAATTTGCAAGAAAACATACTACTTGCATGCCTCTCCCCATCAGCAGTATCACCGTTACACTGGTACCTAGCCTTCCCTAAATTCTAAGAGTCTGTTTCACACCTGCTTTAAATCTCTTTACTCTGTCGAGTTGAGCAAAAGGTAACTTTGCTCAGGTCCTGTTCTCTTTTTCGACCGTTTTGGGTCTCCGAAGTACACACCCAAAACTCCATTTCCGTCGCACACCTCAAACCGCCCGGTGATCCTGATGTAGTGGCTCGTAGTATACGAGGGGTGGTAGTTGTGCTTAGCACCACGGTTAAGTGCGCTCTACTGGACTATATTCCAGTAAGTAGTCGTTTATGAGCTGTTTGATTGACCGGCTGTCGACCCGGTAAGTGATGTATTTCTTGTGTCAGCATACTTTCTAACAGACGATAACTCTGATGCTGAGAAAGATAGCTTCTATCGTGATTCGTCACATTGCTTCAGTCAACGAGGAGTACCTATATAGTGATTCTGGCAGGTGATATAAATTCCCATTTCGGCCAACTAATCCCTGAAAAAGCTCATCTTAGCGGTAGATTAAAGGTCGACGCTCACCATACTGATCGTGAGGACCGACTTCTTGACTTATGTCCGCTGAACGAGGTGATAGTGTGGCCAGATTTGTGCCGATTTCGCGATAGCCAGGCATACGTAAAGCCCGAACATGATGTTGTCAGCATTCTGAAAGAATGCGTCATATCTGATGGTTTCATCTCTTTGAATTAGGGGGCCAAACTGAGTTCCCCGTTCCGTATGATTACCTTACTTGACGTTGGCGAGTCAGCCGAAGTGATCGCCAATCTGGTAGATGTGAGCTAATTGCTTGGCCTTATGTAACTCGAAGCTGTTTCCAGACTCCAAGTCTTGACGCATTTGAAGTGTAATCAATACAAATACACTCATTCGAAATCAATTGGGTTTCATGGGAGACTCGTGATTCTCTCGTTTGTGATGTTCTCCAACTGGATGTGCCGCACACAGGCCGCCTCATGTTTCAGTTGGTACGATATTCGAGATATCGCAATATATTTTCATAAAGGAACCTAAAGTAGAACATAAGGTTGACGGGAACTCGGGGACTGCGTCTACCTGATAAGCCCCAAGAAGGGCGAAACCAGTCGTGGGCTGTCGAGGAGTTTTCAGCAACTTTGTGAGTAGCTTCCCCAATGGAATCAATACCGTTTTTGTTTCCATGCTTCTAGACCGCATTTTTGAGTTAACCGAGATCGTCAGTCTGTCGTCATCGAAAAACTGGCTAGACCAATCAGAACGATAATTCAACCTGAACCATTTTCGTGAACAACTAGTGCTTCTACTTACGAGGCTGGGTACATAAGTTCCAAGATTATACGTTATAATTTTGGTTAAGTTGTAGGTTTGATCTGACCCTGTATTAGCGAAGCTTGATCTTTAAACTATTCCTCGTAACCATCGACAGTTCGTTCAAGCTCTAGTAACCACTGCAATTTGTTTACTGATTTTACTTGCTTTCACGGTCTTAAACGTACGGCTCAGAAGCCCCAGCATCTCTACCCATTTCACTTGAATCGCAAGATGTTGGTCAAGAGTTAACCTGTACGTCAGTCTATGTGATGACCGGTTTTCTAAGTAATTTTCAGATTGGCAATCTGCGTAAAGATTTTGAGGATGTGGTACAGATCAGTTCGCTAGCATGGTCATTAAAGTCACTGAAAACAGGAGGCATCGCTAGCAATGCAAAGCTACTTGCATAAAACATTGAGGTGCTGTTTGGTCACTCTACCTGAGATCGGTGTATCATAAATGGGATAGTGCGGACACATTACAATGACATTGAACTTCCAATAGACCGATTTGGATAAGTTGACCGAAATGTTAGTGTTACGATCAGACAATGCCCGTCTGATAATGTACCTTGACCTTCGTTCAGCTAATCATACACGTTTTTGGCCTAGTTGAGTGAGGCACCCTTCGTTTTGCAGGTTCGCCTGTTTTTTCCTTCACTAATTATTCGGATCGGTGGACTGATGCATGGCTGGGCCTTCTGGAACATACAGCCCTACTCTGACCATTTGTGTGCACAAGGGGCTGCTGTTTCGGTATCACCACCTGACAGTATCGGAGTCAATTACGCAAACCACATTTGATGTTGCAGTGTTAGTATGACAGTTTCGGATTCCGCCGAAGACACACAAAATAAACGCCCATCCTGGGTCGAGATGGCTCAGTGGTTAGAGCGCGAATTTACTGACCAGAAGGTCCGTACTTTGGACCCGACCTCTGCCTCTCAACTTCCCCTGTCTAGGCTCGGGCAATCTGGCAGTATTCCAGTCCTCGTGCTTCCTTCGGGTGGCATGGCATCTAGGCACCGAAAGGATGTTACAGCTGAGCGATTATCTTTATTTATCTTTGTACTGAATTTTTAGTGGACCTCTACAAAAGGTTAAGGTGAGTGTCCACTTCTATATCCATTTCCATGAAAAAAACCGTCGAGAAGATATTCTAGCATTCCTCAAGATGTTTCCTTGAGAGGACGGTGCCGAGAGGATGTAAAACATATTGAGATAAACTGAGGCCAACACGGCTAACGCCTGCTAAGCATGTGATATTCTTGTGAGGTTATGTACAAAGGCGGGAGAGATGACTCAAGTGGTTAGAGCGCGAATTTACTGACCGGAAGGTCCGTGGTTCGAGTCCGACCTCTGCCTCTCGACTTCCCCTGTCTAGGCTTGGGCGACCTGGCAGTATCCCAGCCCTCATGCTTCCTTCGCGTGGCATGGCAGCTAGACACCGAAAGGGTGTTACAGCTGACTGGCATGTACAAACGGAAGTGTTTCCACAGACCTACTATCTCAGATTACTTGCAACTATCAATCTTATCCATAATAACTGCACCATACCTCCCTAATTTCCTTCCTGTACCATGAAAAAATACTCCATAATTCCGAAATCATCCCCCCAGGATAAAACGCCAAAATGATAATGCGCCTGACCATTTGTGTGAATATCCAGGTCGACCGTCAGTCAGTCAGTGTTTCCAGCCAGCGCAAAAACTACCATTTCGGCCCAGAGGACAGGCCCGGACGATAAGCATGTGGGCACACCTTGTTAATGCACCACTATCCATTCTCGACTATTGAATGTTTGAGCATACATTGCGGTTGAATTGACCAATTTCACCACACCGTTATTCCCTGAAAACACCCAAAGCAACCGGACCTGTCAATCCAGCAAATGTGGCCCCTTCATTCGGGTGCACTTCTTTCGAGTAGAAAATCTGGTATCCCATGTATGTGCTTTCCAGTGGAAGAACTACTTACTCCCTACTTATTTATTCTACTGCCCCCTACTGAAAACCACATTTCATTGCATGTGCACTCTGCTGGTCACTGATGAGAAGTGTAGTTGCATCAGCTCACTAGTAATTAGAACCCCTAAGTGGACGGCGAAACAATAACCTGCTTGTTTGCTGCATGTAGTACCGCTGTATCTGTTTCGGTTACGTTACTGTCTAATTACAGTCAAATTTCTTCACTTTAATTGGTTTCGGGAAACCGTAATTGCGTCATTGCTTTTGGGACGTGATTACTCCACAGCTACTTTATCATTATGGAAAATACGTCTGGGTGGATAAATAAGTTTCTGTAATTCGAATGGAAGCAATCAGTGGGCCCCACACTTGTTTGTTATTGGCCACATTGTTTTTATCGATATGAATTGTGGTTGATACTTCTACTGTCTAAGGCATTAGTGGTCGAAAACCTTAAGAAGCCTCATATCATCTATCCGCAGAGGTCATGTCTCGCACCCATACAACAACACAGCCCTGGTACACACGACCCTTAGATGAAGTGAATTGCCTTTTTGACGCGACAAGTGACGCAAATTAGCAAACATGATTCGAGCCTTTGAGATTCTTGTACTGACTTCATCAGACGCATTTACGTCAGAGCTAATATAACTACCGAGGTGTGTAAAATTCTCCACAACCCCTGTGATTCTCCTAAAATTGTAAAGGGTGCGCTCATACACTATACGTTCTGAAGCAGGACTTTACATTTGAAGGGGCTTGATGCATGCCAAAAGATGGTGTGATGGTGATCAGTCTATTCAACAGGATTGGTGCTTCTCATTGGTCTTCAAAGATGGGGGCGATGTCGTCCGCGTACTCTAGATCGACAAGCTTTTTACTAGCAACGATTTGGACCCTGGGGTTTTGAAGACTTTCCATTGTTCGCCTCATTATATCATCAATGGCAAAGTTTAACAAGAATGGACACCACTTTTTGTAGGAAGCTCACTGTACACTATCACACTTCCATAATTATGTGAATATAGTGACTGGATTATGGTCACATACTTCTGGGGCATGCCCTGTTGAGCAGACGTAGTTAACAGCACTGGTCGATCGACAAAATCGAATTCACCGTTGAAGTCAAGGAGCACCAAGATTGTGTCGTCTGTGCATGTGGCGTTGCTCTAACATTTGACGGAGTGTGAAGATGTGGTCAAGTTACGCTTGATTCTCACGAGTCGGTTTTTCGCGTGACACCGTAAGACGATAAAGAATCAGTGACACCAGAGGCCTTGACACAACATCTCTGCGAATACCCTTTTTGAAAACGTATACTATTATCGATTCACCCCGGTTGTCTGGGACGGTCTCTTTCTCCCAGATAGACCCGAATAGGCTAAACAAGCACTGACTGAAAAACCCTGAAAATCCTTTAACAGAGCAGGCATCCAGCAGCACGACATTTAAGTAGATGTATCATTTGGACACGTCTGAGGGTGAAGGCGGCTCCGTATTCACAGTTCACCTTTCTGTTAAAAGTCAGGATTTCAGATTGGAACTAGCATGTGGCCAACTGAATTGCTGTTCAAGGTGTTGTGGCCAGTGGTTCATACGCTCTCCGCTGGATATTAGAGCTGACAAGAGGCTTCCGAGGACCAGTAGAACGAATCAAACAGCCCGCGGACGTTTCCAGCATTTTTTGTCTCCACCATTTCTTCGGCCTATCGTGTCCACCAAGCTTCGCCGTCTGCATGGACCCTCAGTTTCACCGGGCGTCTGAGGATACGTCGAGTAGAATTGGGGTTGTGGCCAAGGGGAATCTGTCACTGGGCCTCCATCCTATCAGAGATCCAAATTTTGGATGAGCTTGGTTGAGTTTTACCGCAAACAGAAGTTCCGGCTCTGAGCAGCGCCTTATATATCTTTCCCCAGTGGTCGTTTGTACTCGACATCGGGCCGTCTGGCAGGCGTACACGTGCATAGTCGGAGTCCACGCTGGTGTTTCAGAAGGAGCACCAGGCACCGATAACTGACGGCGATGTGGTCTATCTGGATTCGAGGCTGGTTCGATGGTGTACATCACATTTTAAAGCGATTTCCGGTGTTCCAGTTATTAGTACTGCAAAGGAACAGTCTGTGGTGGGTACACATCTGGAGCCTCTCGAGTCCAATTCAAGGCGACCACCCAATCAGACCTCAGCAGCGTTTAGTCTACTAACCTGGGTGCTCCTGTCACCAGCAACCACAACGATATATGAGCTTTTAGTCTCTTGTGAATGAGCACCTAAAGCGCCATAGCAACTGTGTGGCAGATTCGGAGCTACAGTTCGTTGGTTCGAAAGCAGACACAATAAACGGGTTATGGTGGTCCTCACTTTCGCGAGATTCTTTTACCGACGTTGCCAAACGAACCGCGCAGAGGCGACTATCAACGGGTATCCGAGCAAGTGAAGACGCTTCCTCTCGGTCGCTCAATACAATACCCACTCCAACATATCCAGCTGCAAGGGCCTCTTCATCACCGGAGTTTCGCAGCAAGAACCCGGAAAAGAGTGAGGGGACATTCAGATCAACTACATTACTCGCGTCCTGTATCCTCGTTTCTGACAGACAGCATGCATCAATTTAAATGGAATCCAGCATGCGAGCAAGTCACCTGTTGTCCTCTTTGCTTCAGTGTACGAACACCAAAGGCAACTAAGTAGATCGGTTTTCGGGATTTGAAAACAGACTTCGAAGTATTCAGGGTTGTTGCTGAAGTCCGGCGTACAGAAGCTGCAGCTGAGTGTGATACACGGTGAACAAAGCGGTCAATCCTAGTAGTGAGGTCTACGGGGAGTATTGAAATTTGGGTGGATTAGGTTTGAAGAGGGAAAACTTGAGAGGGTAATAAGGGAGTCGTCAGCATTAGCATGTTTTCCCTGCTGTGTGCAGCAGGGCGACCCGATATCCGAAAATTCCAAGCTCATAGGTTTCCTTTAGACTACTTTTCTTGATGCTTTATTTTGGCTATCCCTATGGTTCCAAGCTCATGGGTTTCCTTTAGATTACTTTTCTTGTTGCTTTATTTTGGCTATCCCTATGCTTATTTTTTGCCGAACTTCATAATTACTCTTCATCTTCTTCCGTCATCAGATCACTCAAAAGCTGGCCGAGATCAAGGCGCAGCAACGGTCGTCTAGTCACAAATCTTCCGCACCACCACGGATGTAAACCGCTTGTCTTTCATCTTTATGTGATACGAAATTCATCTGGACGCACTCGACTCCTCACTTTTTGCAGTTTTTTTGGAATCTGTGCTGTTCACCTTAGTTGTTCTATGACACATTGTTTGAATACACTGTTCGACTATTCCTCACTGTTTGAGATAAGCTGTTTTCTGCTATCCTTTTGTGGTTCCAGAACTGTCTCCGAACCTAAACTTTTCTGTTGATAATCCACCTACTTATAGAAGTATAAGTAGTTTAAAGTTATTTCTGAACCCAAACGTGCATTAAGTAGCCGCAAGCTGCCAACGTGTTCGGATTTTGGTAACTTTTTTGTCTCGGTCCTCGTATTCAGTACCAGATTTATGTTCTTCCACTTATTGTGCAGCACAAAGGATGCTTTAGGTGTCTGCTGCAAAGTCATGCTTCAGAACGTGCAGTCTCCGAACATATCCCTTAAAATCCAAGGAGAATCACTGAAGACGGGAAAACTTTACATACCTCGGTAGTTGTATTAGCTCTGACGGAAGTGTCCAATGAAGTCAGTGCAAGAATCTCAAAGGCTCGAATCACGTTTGCTAGTTTGCGTCACTTGTCGCGTCAAAAAGGCGATTCACTTCATCTAAGGGTCGTGTGTGCCAGGTTACAGTAAGGGCTGTGTTGTTGTATGGGTGCGAGACATGACTTCTGCGGATAGATGATATGAGGCTTCTTGAGGTTTTCGACCATCGATGCCTCATAAGTGTGGATGGCTTTGGATGGCGTCAGCGTTTTAGGAAGCAGGTGATTAGCAAACCGCGACTTCAGTCGCGGAAAAATAGACAAACCTTATGGTTGTACGACAGTGAAGCATCGGTGTCAACACTGATGTTGCTGCCTTTGATGATGATGATGCTACGAAGCTGCTTGATAAACTTTCCATTATTCCATGTAGGTCGCACGGAGTGATTACTAAAGATCCTCAGACTGCCCACTGCGGATTTCCCCTTCCTTGGATGGATAGACCTGCCTGGTGTTGTCCAGTGGTCAATTATCCCAGAATTCAAGAGATCTCAGACTTACATTGTTCGGGCATTGTTAGTATCTTGGCGTAAATTCATGATGTCAGTACGACTAACTATGATTCTCCGTAGATGCTCATTTGTTTCACTTTGTCGCAATTCACTCGACTGGCTTCCTATGGTGCTATTGTTTCGTACAGATGGGACACAAATAAATGTCTCTGGCCTTAAGTGAGTAGCCATTAAACGGAAAGCTGTCTAGCAAAACCTCAAAATACTCTTCCCAACTACCTATGTAATTTGAAGTCAGAAAACTGAGCAAGTGGCTCTCAACCTCGGTTGTTGAATTCACCTTTCCCAACGCTGAACTTATAACGGGACCCAAATGAAGTACGGTTAAAGAATGCTCCTATGTGTCCGACCTGTCATCACGGTGATCAGTTGCTATGACATAAGCAGGCAGATCCAAATTCTATCTTACTTTTATTACGGAGACATCAGTGAAATTATTTCCGGTCCCTTAGTTGTAAAGGCAAATGCACCGATCTATGGATGGTTTTTGAAAGAATCTTAAGATAGACACAACATTTAGGTAGTCAAGGAATGCAGAAACCAGAGGAACCAAGTAATACGGGCAATGAGGTCAATTAAAGCAAGGTGAATGGCTTTGAAAGCTGAGGAAGTTCGAAGTATACAAACAATTTGGGTGCAAATGAGCACATGGAAGTTAGCTCTGATCACGGACTGTGTGTTGTTTGATGACCGTGAGGGATCACAAAGGCTGATGAGGGACGGGTAAATGGTTCGCATCCTGGCGAAGGATGATACATATTATCAGAGTGTAATGCGTTATCTTGGTCCAATTTTTTCTCGCTTGTGGATCTTCGGGGTGGGCAGGTCTTTTCCATACTAAGGTCGGTTTCATGTGAGTGTTCGCAAAACTGCTCCAAGTCCTGCGTATTGTACCCACATTCTTCGCAAATATAGAGTTTGGTACGTCGTTCTTTGAATGCATATGGCAGCGGTTGACCATGAACTTTTCTACAATGTGATTCCAAAGAGCAACGCTGAGTAAATGCCTTTCCACACTCGGTACATTTGTAAGGGCGAACACCTGTAAGGTAAAAGAGAACAATTTTGAGCCCAATTGTTGTTGGCATCGTTTGTGATAGCCTTGTCGCTCGGGGCGTCTATTTGTCAATCTGTCCATCAAATTTGAAAATTGGACTGCGAACCAGTCGGAAAGCCTAGTGAACAGATGTACATTCGATTTCCGAACGCGGAGTACGAGTATTTCGATACGTTGCTGGCTAGAAATTTATGCTTTATATCTATTCCTAAGTCTAGCTAATTTCCGGCGAAAGCTGGTGCCAAACAGTATTGAAGCTAAGGTACATGTTATACAGTGATCCCCTCAATAGACAAACTTACATGCAATAACGCCTCACTCTCTCAAGGAAGACGATTTTAGAGAGCCTGGAAATTTTTGCTTCAGAGTATCCTCCAATAAGCATAAGGCACACCTACCAGGAAGGCTGAAATCACTCTTGATTATTATTCAATGCAGTCACACTGGTCGTCAGGGCGAAACTGTGGGGAACGAGCAGTGCAAAGCGGAGACGCTCTATTACCGGAGAATAGTTGGCTGTTCCTTCTGTAATGACATAAGCAACGGAGTGAACCGAACGAGTCCGCGTTGCTACGATTACAGATTCAGCCAATAGCGAATAGAAAACAGGCTGTTCTCTCTGACAAGCGAAAATCAGTACATACTCAAATAGGAAGTTGTTTATCCATCGGAGCGCCCGTAGCTTGTATGCAAGATGAGTGCGCCACTGTAACTATCCTTCAGTGGGTGAAAATGCGTTCCTCACCACCGTTTGGGAGGCATTCAGGTAACACAGTGCCAGTTAGTTGAATTTGAGAGCCGTGTACGGCCTTGTTTCGATTGAGCACACTCGCAGCCATGAATATTGAGCGAATCACTGCTAGTATTCATGGTGAATGGAAGATCGAATGAATCTCATCTGCTATATTATTTAGCCTGTTAGTCGGTAACAGGGAGAGAGGGAAATTCACTCTGCTCCATCACTTATAGCATGGCATTGTCCGCCATCTCGAAGGAACCCAGCGATCGAATTTTACTGGGTAGGATCGAAGTATTTCCCCTCAAATACATTATTTAACCTAATATCGGGGTGTTAGGGTGATATTTTTGAGGATATACGGAACTCAGATGTCCGGTATAGACACGTTGGGGTGCTGTTCAACGACGGATTATGGTCAACTACCGTGTATCGTTAAAAATAATGTCAAATTCTTCAGTTGGCTGTTGAGCGAAAGTATTTCGGAATACAACCACTGTGTGATTCTTTAGAGTCCCACTCAATCGGTGTCAAACCGCGGCAAGCAAAGAAACAAACGATGTCTGAGAGCATCATTTATTAGGGGAGAGGGACAACCGGATCCTACGAAGCTTGACCACACGAAGTTTCACCTCCCTATTGAAACTCGTCAGGTGGGTGCAGTGTGCTCGTTCAGCTCACCTGGTTAGCAGTCTCATGATGCTGATGTGGGAGAACAAACTCAGCTGCAATGAATAGGGAACACTGTATCCTTTGAACACCCAAGAGCACGTCTGTGTTAAAAGTACTGTGTGATAAGTGAATTTACGTTTCGACCACTACAGCTGACCTTCAGAAGTAGAATGATCAGGATTATGAAAAAAATAATGTGTGAGCTTCACATCCATGTCGACAGGCACCCCACGGCAACTCAGGAAAATTGCCATTAGACTTTTTCACGTCTGGTTTCGTACGGCGTGACAACCGACTAGACATGGTCATCCACCCCACACAATCACTCAAATCAAAGTTACCACCAACGGAGGATTCAGTCAAGCAAACTTCACGAACTATGCTTGTCACAGTAAACTTGATCCGTAACTTGTCTATGTCCCATGAATAGTCAAAATACTAGTTTCCGATGGGTACGAAAACTGCGCTTTGCTTGATTTACTCACGCCCGACCTATTGGTGTACCAGGTTGCGGAGAAAGTCTGTTGGCAAGTGATTTGTTGTTTCGCTATTCTCAGCACAGGGTTGTTAGCGGCATATGCGTCCGTACCAAAACGGTTTCGTGTCATGTGGTTCAAACCAAGTTTTCTATGAACGTTTTGGTATAGTTTTAGTGACAAACTGAAATCGATCATCCGGTGACCTCACTAATTGACAGAATCTGCCCAGGTATGCAGCCAAGAGATGAAACCCTTATGCCTGTTGATGCATGCACCAAAACCTCTATGACAATTTTCAGTGTTTGGTGCTATCTGGTCGTACCTGGCGCTGATCTTTGCTCATCGCTATACCCCTAATTAAGAAAGGTCGTACCTGGTTGAAGTAAATCGGTCTAAGTGGTGGAGCGGCTTTGTTTTCACTGTCTGACAAGTTTGTTATACAACTGCACTGCTCATGAGTCATAAGTAGATTTGTTAACAAACACCAACGGTGATTAGACTGCTTGCAGTCGATGTACTTGTCATTCTCTGCGTGCATAAGGTCGTAGTGTGTTCGCATACGAAGATGCTACACGACTTGTCTTAATCCGCCATTCTTTATGCGCTCCATGCACCGAGAAACTCCAAACCCGTGACACTGGTGCAGGATAGTATGCCAGATCCTAAGGTGGCAATTAGCTTGCAAACGTTTCTTCCTCATACGAGGCATAAACACCAAAAGGCTCACCGACGATACCTTCCCCTTTGATGACTAAACCAATTACCAAGACTGGAGAACAGATCAGTTGCCCCTTCCCCCCGAATTAACAGTATCCGGGCTATCAAACAGTCACTTGCTAACTGGTGACGTTTCCCGCTGCGTCACGTTTCCTGGTTGCGATTCGCCACCCAGTTCGGTCTACCCAGTCACATGCTGCCTTACAGATTTCTCCAGTCATAACCGAGACGTAACCACAAAGCTTGTTCTCTTGCTAGTTTTCTGGAATTGCACACACCCCATCCCTGCATTCTCGTTGCGTCACAGTCGACGCATGATTCTGGCAACTGCATGTAACTTGTAAAATGTGTGCCGCAGTAATCTATCAACCAACTTTCATCAAGTTTTAACAATCTAAAACCATTTAAAACGATCTAATTCTAACTGCATTTGGTATTTATCTAGCTAATGAGTGTTATTCACTTTCCTCACTATGAAAAACTCCGGCTAATTGTGGTCATCTTCTGTGGTTTTCGTTTATGGATTCCCAGTTATGAGTAGGTGGCATCCGAATCGACTTACTGTTCAGCCAGTAGACGCCTGTGCACAGTCGGAGGACGTTAGCGCCGTTGCACACCCTAGTGCCGACATGGTGATCCCTTAGTTAACGAATACAAAAAAATATGATCACATACATAGTTTTCTCGCATTGCTTAAGAACACCGATGTGGTAAAAATCAGCTTGTGCGGCACCGATCATATCCACAAGTCGCGGTGCGCACCACATCGCGCAAAGCCGTAGTCCCGTATGTGCCATAGAATGTTCGGACGCGAACAGTGTTACATTCAGACACAAAGTGACAGGTCAACAGAGGATCACGTCCCCAGTGGAACGAACTTGGCAACATGGTTGCTGGAAGAATGGGTAGCATTCTCGACTTCCGTCCCGTCTGCCGGGCTCGATTCACATAGAGGTAGACGACGAAGTGGAGTATGTAGATATTCCCTATCTATTGCTCAAGTTCACTGCGTAAAGAACCCGAAGAAACATTGAAAACGATCTATTTGGGGATGAAACACAGACTCCTTACGGTCCACTTCAGAAAGATATCAGGTGGTCGACTGGAATTTCAGGTTCAACCACATTTCACCATTGGCAACGGTTTTGTCTTACAAACAGCCTCATTCAAGTACCCAATTTACGAAACGAGAACACATCTCCCAATCAGCTGATGTATACTCTATTGACGATTAATTCTTGACATATCTTCACAAAAATGGATAGCCATATCATCAGCAATAAAAGCTAACATGAAACCAGAACCCACTTGGTTCGTTACGGATCGATTTGCAAACCTATTTTCCGTTAACCTTACAAGTTCACTGAGAAGTATGACAGGTCGACTTTGCAAATTTTCCGGGGTTTTCATGCTTACTTCGGAGCGTTGGCACTGAGCATCTCACGAAGTTAGAGGGAAATCTGATTCCCAGCTTTTCAGTGAAGGTCATCTTCACCTTGCGGGAAATTTCAAAATATAAATGGCGTGTTCAATAAGAAACAATATAAGCAATGTAGATTTTGCTTTTGAGTGATCCTCAGGATTGGTTAACAATCCGCACAGCTGAAGGATGAGAGGCACTTATATTCTGTGCCATACCAAGATAACCAAAATTTAGCCAACGTGACTAAGGAGTTAAAATGTCCCATGCCTATCCAAACGTTTGCAGGCACGTGTCATCGCTGAGGTTCGCGAGATCCACACTATTGAGGATTCCCAATAAATTTTCGCTGGCTGAATAGATCTTCCACATCAGACAGGACAGTTTGATGAGATGTCCAGCTATATACGCGTGACGAATGAACCAATTCCACCTACCTGTATGTGTCCGAGTGTGTCGTTTCAAATCGAAGGTGTCGTTGAATCCTTTGAGACAATACTTGCATAAATAGCGACGCATCTGACTGTGACATTTCACATGACGCGTCAGGAGACGGAATAGATGAAAGCGTTTGCCACAAGCTCTGCAGAGATATTCGTTAGTACTGAGCTGTTCACCTGTCGCAAAAGACGAGAAGAGCAAGCATCAGGATAAGGTGATCTATCATCTTGAAGAGAACACTGAATAAACGGGATCATAAGAAAGACTGGCGGATTTTCATGTAGCAAGCCAATACCCTAAGTTGCCTAGGCTTTCCTTTAGAAGGAGTGCTTTGTTTTGAATCAATCACTTGCACAGGTGCGTTGGTGGTGGGCACATTGCGTAAACAGTGAATAAATTCAACCTAGACAGTCATGTGACCGATCTCCTAATGAGTCCCAATAACAAACGAATAACTCCGTATGCCTCAGCTTTCCAAGAACTTACCACATCTCAGAACCGCAAAGGCGTTTAACCAATACAGCGCTGGAGTTCGGAGCTACAAACAGAAGGATTAAAGCTATTGCCAAATCCCATCTGTGGTACGTGATATGTATTCACTTGGTTCATTCGGTCGATACAGCTACCAGCGAGCAGGCAGTCAGCAGGTGACCTTGTTCTGGATGCACTACTGCCGACACAGACGACACATAACTTACATCTTCATGCAATATTAAATTTTCTGATACGAACTGTAGTGTAGTCCCATCTCCGTAAGAGCTAAACGAGCTGCACATCAATCGTAAAATTTAAACACTCCACCTAGATTGTTCGTTGCCATCGGCAATATCTTTCAAGCCAATAGTCGAAAATTTCCGTGAAGTATCCAGGCTGTAGTGGACGTGCACCCTAAGTACGCTGTGGCGCAGGCCTGTTCATCTTCCCTTTCGACGACCATACCGGTGGTCGCGTTCAAATGAGATAGTGACATTCAAATAGGGACCATCTGTGAGATTTGTTCGGGAAGGTGGGGGATTTCGACTGAATCTCTAATCTTGTTTAACGACCGGATGGCTCTGAAGTTAGGTATTGACTGTATTAATAGCGATTTCGTTCCGTAAGTGAAGCCAGTCTACGGGAAGCAATGTGCAGTTGTTTCATCCTCGTCTGGGATCATAAGCAGTGCACATCCCATGAAACTTCATGAAGTTATCAACCTGCCACCTCTCGGCTAATAGCTTGAGCACCTAATTGATCAGCCACTAGAGGTTGATTAGTAGGATGAGTAACTTGCACTAAGACCGGATGAACAACCTGTATAGTGCTTCTCGGCTTTCCAACATACATTGACTTCACCTAAAGGACGAGTTCTCCATCAAAATTTCCCAAATCTCCTCACGCTACCGACAGTATTTACTTTTTCAGGAGATCTTCGTGTCTATGTTCCACATTGTTCTTCCTTTATGTATTCGCTCAATGAGCAATAAACATGTTGGACTTCCATGAAGCGATTATACTCACAGTAATTGGCCAGAAATCGTGTTGAATTCATGATCCATGGTACATCTACGGATGCTCTGTACTGCGAGTAAGCCATGGGACCAACCGTTTGGATTCAGATTACTTTGATCGCGACTTGGCCGATTCAAATAATAATATTTTTTTCCAGTGATAGTCTTCAGTCTTTTCGTTTCAAATGAGTAAAGATGCGATTAGGCATCTGATGGACATTCCACTAGGCTCGATGGCAGCAGTTTTTCACAGAAACCTATTCCCAAGATGTCTTCCTTCATCACATAAGACTTTTCACAATCACCGTGGTTTATCCCAACAAAACCACCCTCCTTCCGGTGTTACATATGGACTGGCCATTTTTCAGCTAGAGTGTTTTCGATGGCTTTCCCTCGCTACAGCATATTTAGACAACATAATTGTGGCATACATCTTACTGGATGATCAATGGGAGCATCCCCTGTAAGTGTTCCGTCGGATTAAAGGCTTTTGATCCAGGTCGAGTCCAAAAGTGTTCGTTTACGATATTTGGAACCTACAAATGAGTAAAGTGACAGAGGAAGGTGACCTGATAGAGGCTATAACGAGCTTTCCAGTTCCAAGCAATCAGTCGCTATTGTAATCTTTCTTAGACTTGGTGAACCCCTACAATAATTTTGTCCCAGACATACACCCTCCCTCGAATCCATTAGTATCGAAAGCCAGTGGAACTGGTCAAACACGTATTTAAGCCTGATTCATTGTCAAGCCTAAGTTTCCGATCACTGTGGCAGCCGATGAAATTGGCGCTGTCCTTTTACGTCGGTCTCCAAACGGCTCAAAAAAGGTTAATTGACGTGTCCTTCACTCACTCAAACAAGGAAAACAGCACTCAACATTAAAAGGAAACAGTTCTCATTTTCGGCGTGAGGAAATTCAACAGAACGCAGCATCATCGACATTTTATCCCTCACGCAGATTGTTGGTTATCTCCCAAAATAGCATCTTCGTCCACCTGCCGACTGCTTCCAATGCTGGACGACTGCACTTCTGCGTCACGATTTTAGCATAACTTACAAACAGAAGTAGTATTTTGGCCACTCCAATGCACCATCACATCTAACATTGGAACAAAAGATCAACAAGAAAACACAGTAGTCGCCGATAGCGAAACCCAAAAGACTTTTCCAAATCGGCTGACTATCACCCTACCTCTGCCTAAGTGACTGCTAGAAGAGCCACACATGATTGCCTACTGCAGGAAGTGAATGGATATCTCGGAAAGTGAAGGGCAGTGCGAGTGGGGAGCGAACATCAACCGTTGTTCCTTTGCAAAGTTGCTTCAACGATCGTGGGTGATTCTCTAACTTTGAGAGGCCATGTTGTCATACCGCATAAACTTCAGTAAAAATTTCATCAACGGCACCCTGGATATATCCTAATGAAAGTAACCGCTCTAAGTTATGTCTGCTGGCTGTCCAATGATGACAGTATTGACGGACTTGTCCGTAGCTAGGGATAGTGTGTGATGGCAGCCATACCCCCCAGTGTAACCCCAGTTTTCTTGGCTTCAAACAGAAAAACCATGAAAATGGGTGTATTCAAACTCTTCTGGTCCACTGCGAGATTATGTGTTCCCCATCCTTGTTGACGTTCTCTATGCTAAGTGTATTTCGACTACAAGACGGTATCAATCAGTGGTTGCGGAATATTTGCACAGTTTACAGTTTTGAAGCTTCTGGTGGTACCTAATGGAGTTTGCTCACGTTTGTATACCACACCCAATCATCCGCAACCTCATGGCCTGACAAACCGTTTGTTGGCACCCTTGAACTCTGGCTTATGGAACCCGGAAGAAGAGGAAATATCAAGCAAAACGTGCACACTTTCTTGCAATTATATCGAGCAACACCAGGTAATTCGGCAGCAAATTAACGGTCTCCAGCCGTGGTGCTTCTAAAGAAATGTGTGTGTCTACCCTTGAATGTAACCTTGCTTGTGGAATGTAATTTTGGTAGAAATAAGATAGAAGAACTATTCATTCAACAACATCGAGCAGTATAACGTTCCTTCATTCCCCGAGCTGAGTTTAGGGTGTATTCTACAAAGTCAAGAAGAATGGACACTTGGAGTGGTTGTGGAACGCATCGGAAATGCATCAGATGAAGTTTGAAGAATTCAGCTGTACTCGCTATATCAATCAACTGCGTATCCGACGCATATTCATCTAATAATTCCATCTCTTATCCTGTCATTCTCAAATGTGTTTTGAGTGAAGAAGGTATTGAACAAGCCACTTGGACAAAAATAGCCATGCCATCTCCACTCAGCCTCACGTCACCCCAAATGCGACCTTTCTTACTCCTCGGACCACCTCTCAAAAGACTTATTATCAGTCCTCGTTTATGAGTTCTTTTTAAATTCCGTTTAAGGATAAAAGATGTACAGTACCAGTTTAACCACTTTGCTCACGCTGCTGTTCAGGTTTTATCGGTTGTTTCCAACAGGCATGCATTCCACTGTGATGGAATCCCAAGTGCTTCCAACAGGCATGCATTCCACTGTGATGGATAGTGCTATATCCCAAGTGCGTAGTGGTAAATCGGACACCGAGATACTGTTATCACCGCACTTGGGCCTTCTTCCTTAGGCTGATTGGATAAGAATTCTATACGGGTTACAACGGGGTGATTCTTCGACGCCTCGAAACGTGGATAAGAATTCTATACGGGTTACAACGGAGTGATTCTTCGACGCCTAGAAACCAACAGAAACACTGTCCGAGTCGCTGTATATTCAGTTAGTCCTAGTACCAAATAATTTCAATGGTGCCCTCGAGCTTTTCCTGCTTTAGCCTGAAGGGATCAACAACAGTTTATACCACATCCATTCACGAAATCACAATTTCTGCCCCATCTTCGCATTTCTCGAAGGCTGCACTATTGGGTATCGGTGTGACGTCGATTGTTACTGCTTCTGTTTCGCTAGAAAAGCTGTTCCTGTTTCCATCCGTTCGACAAACAAGTCCCAATAACCGTAGGTGATTATGTATGGTCATCAGTCCACATAGGCTTTCCCACTAAAGAATCTTCGGATCTTTTCAGTTCAACTAATATGGCGCATCCGTCTCAGTATTTAGATCAATATTTTAGTAGAGTCATACAGCAGAACGGATCGAACCATTGCCTGGTAGACGTGTAGTTTTTTTCTCCGGCTGTATAATCGGTTTCTCGAGTTAGCCAAGTGCAATATTAACCTTGGCGACACAGGGTCTCAGTTCATGGCCAATGGTTGTATCGGTAGGCAGGGCGACGGCGAGATAGAAGAAACCTGTACGAAATATGTTATAGTCTTGATGCAGAGAGAAGCATTCGAGACTCATCCAGGCAAAGGTTAATGGAGACGCAGTTTTCCTTCTCAGTGATGAACAGACATAGTTGTGCGGCTGTAGTTACGGATTTCAGCGTCAGGTGTCACTATTTACGTTTTCCATGCGGAAGACAGTACAAAGCCAGTTGTGAACTTCAGAATAGTAGACTAGAATCCGCAGCAAAACGATGTCATCACTGCGTGTCAGCACAATCACCCACGAAAGCCGACTCTTTACTTCAAGAAAGTAACGTAAAACACATGTCATACTCAACTAAGCAGTCGACAGGTGGCGGCCATTGATGTTAAAACGAGGGATCTAACCCGAAGCTCAAGA